TTCTTAAGATCCAATAGTGCAAAATGCAAATTCTTGCACTTTTTTTGACTGGTCTTAAGATTTTGATCAGGAGTGTATGTGTTGATCAATTGAATGGATTTTAACTAAACTTTCAGTAATGGTTGGATATAAGTCTACAGGTGATAAACCTCTGGAGTTGATCTATGTCAAGCTGGTTACTGAAGCTCCATTAACAAATGCATAAAACTGTTATAACTGTCTCTCTTAAAGAACTCAAAATGTGATGTGGTAGTAGCTGAGAGTTATTCACAATACTCTGAGCGTGACTTCTTGCAAGAGTTTAAACAAGATGGTCTTTTTAAAGTTTGAACAAAATGGCTACGACTTGGTCCTGGAAGACAGCAGGTAATAAATTATTTCTAATTTTGAGTGTTTAATTATATGTCCTCAGTCCTGGTCCTGGCGGGTCACAGTCCTCCTGTACATTTGAAACGCCTCTCTGCTTTAGCACACACACACTTTGAATGAAAGAGTGACTAACAGGCTTCTGTAGAACTTTAAGGTCTATTGAAGAACTGAGAAACTACTAAAACATTCATGATGGTGACARTTGCTGTAAATTAACCTGATAACAGATCGGTTTGTATTTTATTTTATTTTATTTTTTAGTGAAAAGAGCTTTTATCTGCAGCTGTTTGTTGATTGAGCAATGCCTGACGACTGCAATRTCTAATGGTTGACTTGTTTTGTTCCAGCTGATTAGATGGATCACTTTTCGAATGGTTTTACAAGATATAATATAAGACCCCCATCCTGAGAAAAGGTCATCACTCCTTTACGGCTCAGTAAACYGCTTTAGCTATAGGTCAGTGTTGGCATATAATTAAACTGAGCCTTCAGAGGCAATAAAAGGTGAAGAGACACAAAGATCTTCTGCATGCTGATAGTGGGACTTCTTTTGTTTGTTGTTTAAACCCAGGTATCATGGCAGAGCGGGTTCTGGTGGTGGGCAGTGGTGGACGGGAGCACACGTTGGCCTGGAAGTTGGCTCAGTCGCCACAGGTCCAACAAGTCCTGGTGGCTCCGGGTAACGCTGGCACGGCCGACTGCGGCAAGATCAGAAACTCTGGTAAATTTTCAACTTTTCACAGGACTCTTTGTCACGATAAAAACAAACACAATGAAATGCATTACAGCTTGAGTTAAACTGAAGTTTTTTTCTTGTAAAAGCTGCAGGGTTCGTGCGGGTGCTTGAAATCCTTGAAAATGCWTGAATTTTCACAGCGTTTTCAATGTTTGGAAACCGCCTGATGTCTGTATAAAGTCCTTAAACATGCTTGATATTCTAACCGCACAGTTTTGTAATAAAGAGTAGGACTTATTGCACTCCAGTGCTGTGCAGGATCTCCAGCGTAGCTGCAGCTAAAATAAAATAATCAAATTYGATTTAACAACCATTTCTCTGGATCCTAACAGAGGTGCCGCTGCCACTTTAAACGGCCAATATAATGTGTTTCTCAGGCATATATTTAAATACTATACCATAATAAAGTATCTATGTCACCTTTAGCTGTTATTAAAATCCTGTTTTTATGTTTAAATAGAAAATAAACTTATCTTTTCATCACTTCCTCTTCTAAACACCTTGAAATTGGCCTCTGTCTCTTTAAGAACCACCTTCTCCTTCTGTCCCGTCCCGTTAAGTGCCGGGGAGTGGAGGGGGGTGCGCGCTTGCTACGATGTAGTTTACTTGGCATCTGAAAATACATTTCCTCAAAGGTATTTTGAATCTGAAAAGAGCTTCCCTGAGTGAGAAGTAATGTTAAAGAGCAGCAGACAGTTTAAGTTTCACTTTCAGTTTGTGACCCGTAATTAGGAGCAATGCTCAGAACAAAAGAATATATTTGAAAGTTTGAAAAAGAACTAGAGACAGCATTGAATCTGGGAAATGAAAAAAATACAGCTGTCAGGGAAGATAAACCTGCAGAAGGATGTTTTCTGATTCCTCCACCTGAGAGAGACGGAGACGAGGCACAGTCATGCAGGTGAATGCTAACGTTAACTAAATTTGGCTGAAAAGGAGAAGAGAGGAGCAGAGAGGTTCAGCGTGCAGCCTGTCTTTGTATAGTTTGGCTGTTTATGTTGCTTTAGTTCTTGGAATTATATATAATACTCATTATAGATCATTTTTATATATACTAAAAGAGTTATATTTGAACAAAAAAATGTCTTTCTCCAAAACCCTTACAGTGGTCTCTGAATGAGTCAGTTTTAGTTCATAATAAATAAACAAATTTGAATCCTACACCATATTATAGCATTACAAAAAGGCCATTGATGATTTTAATGAGCTCATTTGTTTATATTTATAACAAGACTTCAAGAAGAATTTAAGTATTTTTAAATATAAAAAAGTTCACAAAGTGTCATTTTAAAACACAGCCTTCATACTGTGCATGTTGATGCTCGATACAGGTAGACACTATAAGGTTGATTTTTGTCATTGTGTTGGTAAATTCAAAAGGGTGATATTTAAAAAAATATATCACGAGTAATCCTTTGCTCAGGACAAAACTTAAAACTGCTGTTTTTAGTGTCGTACATGTCAGGTTGTAAGGACTGTCTGTAATTTACACAGATTTTCCAGCATTTTGCAAGTATAGAGCAATGTCATTGATTTTTAAAAAAAATTAGATTTTTTTTGTAAAACTCAGGGT